CAGTCCCAGGTGTGGCAGCAGATGTATCCGTAATCTTGGGTGAGACGACTCTCCTCTGGCTCTCCATCGATGTCCCATCCTCTCAGCCATGTGCACTATATGAAGGAGAGGTCACAGTTTCAGCGGTCCATACCCCTGTAGCTCCCGGTCCCATGCCTCTTCCCAGGTCCAGCGCAAACCTCAATCACATCCCCTCCACCACTCCTGCTCCCAGCCCCCATGCCATTTATACATGCACAGGCGTTGACAATGGCAGCGAAGCGCTGGCTAGAAATGTCACTGCAACAAGCACAGGGTGTGGGAAGGAGGCAGCGAAAGACGCACTGGTATCACATCTGGATATAATTTCGCAAAGTGCGAGCATGCTTAGTGTTGTTGGTTCTGCGGAATCGTTCAGTGCTGTAAAGACAGCTTTGATGGAGTTGCTGTTGTTGTCCCCGCTGTTTGGCGACCCAGGGCATAGTAGCATCAAGGGTCAAGATCATCACACAGCAACGAAGCAGCAGTCGCAGGACCAGCTGCAGCAGCAGCAGGAGGAGGGAGTCGGGAGTGGGGCGAGGAAGCAAGCGCATGATCTGAAACCCACGGACCGCTGTGTGTTCGTGAGCCCCGCAAGCTCTGAAATCGTATCATGTGAACATCGAGAGCTGCACGTGACTATGTCAAAGCCGATACGGATGAAACTCACACTTCGCGTCTGGAATTGGTCCATCCCAGTGACCCCCTCCCTTCCTGCTGTGTTTGGCATATCAGAGAAGGTGGTTGAGAAAGAGTATGGGGATCTGGTGCGTGGAAGCGAGAGGTGGTTTAAGGTGCTAGACATGCACTATGAGTGGCTTCTAAGCTACAGGGTAAGTCCCTACTTCTGCCGCTGGAGTGACGACATGAGTGTTCTCTGTTACACATGCCCTCGGCCCGCTGACCATCCTCGGGCTAACGAGTGTTACTCTGATCCTCGACTCGCAGCGTATGCCGTTCCCTACAAGTTGCCCGTATCGGAGCAGAGCATTTCAGCCGGGCAAGGGATGTCTTCGACACCAAGGATGACCTTGGACAGTCAGATGTCAGAGGGAGTCCGCAACATCCTCGGCAATACATCCGCTTCTGAGCAAACGATGTCCGCAGACCAAGGCATGCCTGCAGAATTGATCCCAGGGAAGAGGTGCAAGTCGTGCAGTGGCGGGAGGTGCAAGTCGTGCAGTGGCGATGGTAATAAGGAAGAAAATGATGACAATGTGTCATGTGCTACAAGCAACTACTCCAGAGAGAGAATGGCCCTGCGTAGAGAAGTGCTACTGCTGAAGGAAAGACCGCACTGGACAAAGGCGTACTTCTATCTCTGGGATGAGCCGCTAACGGTAGATCAGTATAACCTACTTCAACAGAGGGCAGAGGAAATCATGAACATCACTGCTGATGCCCGCATCTTGACAACATATTACTGCGGGCCGAGAGAAATATACGATCATCATCTTCAGCATCCTCATCATCCAGGTCAACTCAAAGAGAAGCAGCATCCAGAGCATCTCTTGGAAGCAGGTGGTGAAACCATGCCTTCGAGTGGGACCAGAGACAGTGCCAGTGGGACCAGAGACAGTGCCTTTGAGAACTTCCTGAGAGTACCAGATCTGATGCGCCCGTGGACCCGAATCTTCTGCACAAGTGAATGGGCACTGGGGGGATGCGAGGACAGAGCGAAACAGATCTTAGGAAAGCTTCGGCGCCACAAAGGAGAAGAATGGTGGACGTCTGTATGGGGCCTGGGAGTCCGCATCCCAACCTTCACCTGGGGATGAGCGATACCCAAAACAGAGCAGTGATTTGGAGGGTGTGGAAGGAAGGTGGTTCTGGCTTCTTGTACTGGGGAACCAACTGCTATTATGACCCTGACTGTGAGTCAGCAAGAGAGAGAAAGGAGAGCGAAGCGACGGAGAAAGCGACGAGGATGGAGAGGGAGAGGGAGAGGGAAATGGACGGCAGAAATACCGCTGCGGCATCATCGGAATCATCGCTGCTGTCTTCGGATTTGGCTGGAAGAGCTGCTCAGACACATCACGATTATCGAGCACGGACTTGGTTTAGACCCGAGCTTCCGCCCGGCGATGGGGTCCTTTTCTATCCAGGTCACTGGTTCGATCCACCTTCGGCACTACCTGTGGCATCCGTACGGCTGGAGCGTGTCCTCAGTGGGCTGCAGGACTATGAATACCTTGAGCTGTATGCGTCTATGTTTGGAAGGACTGCTGCTCTTGACCTGATTGCCCCTTGAGCTGTATGCGTCTATGTTTGGAAGGACTGCTGCTCTTGACCTGATTGCCCAGACAGGTCTATGCCTTAGACCAGATCATTATGCTGTGGATCACGAGGGTGTTGAGAGGATGCGCTCAGCCGTTGTACAGTCCTTTGAATCTCAAACCTGTTCCGGCTGGCGTTAGCTAACTACTAGAAAGTTGAAACCGACAAAAAGGTTGAGGGCTTTTTTTTTTTTTTTTTTTTTTTT